ATAGCAAATTCGAATTCAGGGCATCAAAATACCCCGAAAAGGCATACAAGTGCAAGAAGTCATTACAGGTCAACCGAGGTCACTGACCTGACCTTGACCTTTAGTAACCTTGAAAAGGTCAACGGACATTGTGCCAATGTCAAATCAGCCAGTTATGATTCTAAAACAATCCATCAGTGTGTCAGGTCAGTCGGCATTTATACCAATGTGAAGCAATCTCCAATTTAGCGTAAATCTGGCCGGAGGTTGTTCCCTTTATGACGTCATAACTCCGTGACCTGACATGACCTTGACAAAAAAATACCAAAAGTTGCGCAAAGGATGCCCCATAGGGTACTGAAAATTTGAGCAGGCTATCTGAAACGGTTCGGCGTGTAGCTAAGAAAAACCTCAGGGGGGGGGGGTTGCACCCCCCCCCTACATGGGCGAGGGTTAAAGTACGAAATAGTCCTGTGTGCATGTATACACATATTGTATAGTACTACCCCGATCCCCGTCCTGGGCTGACGGGATACGTACGAGCACATGTTTTTAGTGCCTACTATTAGGTGTCACATGTTTTTTTTTTTGTAGCGTCATTTACTGCATAGACCCCGGGGAACAGGGGGGGGGGGGGCAGCGGGGGCGCTTACCCCCTACCCTCCCAGTTCCAACTTGAGGGCCGAGTGGGCGCCGCCCCCTTAACATTTTAAGATGCAACGAGGAAGGATCTCTCCTCCCTTTTATGGACCTGTCTTACATGTCTATTTTTAATATAAACATCAGCACAAGGTATTTCTCTTGCGTGAGAATAGTTTCTGCTGATTCAGCATCGATTTAAAAACATCTGCTATTGTCATCCCATTTTGATTTTTTCTGAACTTGATCATAACTTTGGTAGGCCAGATTTTATACTGGACCATTTTGGTTCCGGATGGTATTTGATTTGGCGTGATGAGAACATTATGACGTACAACGGTGGTAAGGTCGTTGATTGATACAGGTTTACTCGCTCCGGTGGGAGGCAGTAGCGGCGGAACACCTTCAAGGGGGGAGGGACACTGCCGGCTTTTGGTCCCACTCTTTCCATGCAACGCCCATAGGGCTAATGTTAAAATGCCCAAATCAGAGGGGGCACGGTGCCCCGGTGCCCTCCCCGTTCCGCCGCCTATGGTGGGAGGGCGGCGTGTGGGACTCAGGAGACTAATGGCTTGTGTTGTGCCTTTGGTAGGACCCTCAGTATCGCCGATGCAGGGCCTTCAGAGCCTTCAATTAGGGGCCTTTAGAGGCACCGGTGTGGGGTCCTCACAGACGCCCGTGTGGCCCCTCAGAGGTGCTAGTGTGAAGCCCTCATAAGCGCCGGTGAGGGTCTTCACAGAATACAGACGCCGTTGTGGACCCTCAGAGACACTGGTGTGGGTCTGTTACATGTGGGTGTGTGGCCCTTAGACCTGCTGGTGCGAGCCCTTTAGAAGTCGGCAGAGGGCCCTCAACGACCGGGGGGGGGGGAACTTCAGACCGGCAAGGGGCCCACAGAGGCCGGTGGCATTTTCAGAAGCCCTGTGGGGTCCTTAGATACCGACAAGGTACTCTGAGACGCCAGTGCGGCCCTCAGTCTCCGGTGTAGGGCCCTCAGAGTTGCAAGTAGGTGGCCGTCAGATATGCTTTTGCGGAACCCTCACAGGCGCAGGTGTGGGTACCTCAGAGCCACCAATATAGGGTTGCATAAATGGTGTGGCACTGGCGTGGGGACCCTCAGTGGTGTCCTTATGGGCCCTTAGAACCACTGGTGTGGGGCTCTCAGAGGTGCCGGCTGTGAACCCTCAGAGGCACTGCTGAGGGCTCTCACGGTCTCCGTTATGGGATCCTCAGAAGCCGGCGTAGACCCTCACGGAGATCTTAGTGTGGCTACTTAGGGGTCCATGAGGTGCTCTTACGAGACCTGTGAGGTCTTTCTCAGTCGAAATATAGTCAGCGTGGACCCTCAGAGGTCAATTGGTGCCGCAGGCCCTTTGTTGCCGGGTGGGCTCTCAGAAGCACCAGTGAGGGCCCTCAGTCTCACAGTCGTCATAATGGGGCCGTCAGAGACATTGGTGTGAGGCCATTACTGATTACAGGTTGGTGTAAGGCCCTTGATATGGCCCCTCTTGGGCCGGCAAGGACTCTCAGAGGCACGCTAGCGGCCATAAGAGGCCGGTAAAGGGCCCTCAGAGGCCGCCAGTAGCCTTCAGAAGCCGGCGTGTAACCCTCATGGACAATTTAGTGAGGCTTCTTTGGACTCACGAGGTGCTGTTACGAGCCCTGTTCTTTCTTAATCGAAATATGGCCAGCATGGACCCTGAGCGGTAAACTGGTGCCACAGAGCCCCTCCGACCCGATGTGTCCTCTGAATCCGATAGGGGGGAGACTGGAGGGCACGTGCCTCCTGGGACCCCCTGACTACGCTACTATTTCATATGCGTCATGTCAGGCATTTTGGACTTGCACCCCAACTTGAAAAATGTTCCTGGGCCCCTGTGACAATACATTGTATTAACCCGCGACCGCCTGGGGGGGGGGGGCGGATCCGACCTCCCTCCGTTTTTCTTGAATAACTTATGAACCGCTTACGCTATCGACTTGAAACTAGGCATACCTTCTCCCTCATCAATTTGACGTCTTCTGTGCAATTTTGAAGACAAAATTTTTAAAAAAATTTGAGATATATCGATTTAAGTGATGTAACTACATGACGTTTTCAGTCAAAAAGTGGTAAATGTTTAAAAAATCGCCAAAAATCAGGGTTTAAAGCAAATTACAAATTAAGGACATGAATAGATGCATCTTAACGAGTTCTTTAAAATGGCGATCTCGGATTTTCCATAAAATGCGTTTTTCACCCCTAAAAATTAAAAAAAAAACTATATTTTTTTGGAAAATAGCTAATAAAATCCAAAACTTGTCCCAAATTTCAACTTTCTATCTTGATTTTTGACCCCCAAATTGTAAAAAATAGCTCCAACATGCATAGGGCATGGTGACGTCATAAGCATTTTCGTGAATTAGAGGCATTTCTGAACATCGCATGTGAAAACAAATGCCACAACTAGATTCCTCGGACAAAGCTCGTCTAGAAAAGTGTATTTTTATGTCAAAACTAAAAAGTTGAAAAATTGACCTTTTTTCTTAGCCCTCTCTTAGTTATGTATGGTATAAACGATTTATTATGCTTTCAATGCACACTTATCACCAAGCACAGTGACTTGGGGTCACATATAACCATTACCATCGGATTCGGCGTGAAAAATAAGCCATAAAACATGTGTCGCACGCCCATGTAGCAGAAAGTGAAAACCGTCGGACCTTTCGTGACCTGACCTGACCTTGACCCGTACTTAGTATGACCCCTATACGCACATGGTACCTTCACTAGGCCTTTGAGGTCATTTTTGGTGAGTTCCGAGCAGCAGTTGTCGATTCCGCTGTCTGTAAGCCTAATCATGCAAAACCCCAGAATTTGACCTTTGACCTGACCTTGACCCGAAAGTTGACCTCAATCTTAAAATCTTAAGAGTGCTTTGGGAAGGTCTCGTAGAGACCTTTCGAACGCCGCCTCGCGGGGCTCGATACGACCATTGGTTCTCGAGATAACAGGGGGGGGGGGGGGTCGGATCCGACCCCCCCCCCCCCCAGGCTGTCGTGGGTACGGAAATAGCCCAGGCGGTGCCGGGTTAAAGGAAAAGGGCCACCTTTAACATGGGGATTGAAACTGAGATAGCCATCTTGTAGCCCGTGTCCGAAAACCTATCTGTCTACCTCCTTACGGCCGATTTCGGCCTCCATTCGTAGTTATCGGCAATTTTAAAAGAAAATACGCCAGGAATGCGTCCTTATTCCAGGAATGCGTTCTTATCCGACAATACAGCCACCCGCGGCGAGGCTTTGGTTTTTTACCAATCAGCTCCAACCAGCTCAGCTTTAACCAATCAGCTTATCTGACACAATCCGACGAGTCTGTCTTCTGAACGCTGATTGGCTTGAGTGTGACGTCATCGCTATGCCATCATACAGTAGGTGCCGTAGAGAGTATCAACATAGTACCAATATGTTAAATAGTTTTAAATACTTTTTCGCGAATTGTGCACTTCTGGCACCAGTTTTAAAAAGAAAATGAAAAATAATAATGTCAAAATGAAAAAAACAACGATATCTTCATATTTCACGAAGGTGGCCCTTTTCCTTTAATAGGTATTCGTCATTAGCTTGCACTCTCTGCAATCTGCTCATACTATTGCTTGTCCCTAGACGCGCTCACAGACAGCAGGGATAAGCCCATACAGTCAGCGGCCTGTTAGTTTCGCAAACAGCCGCTAGTGGCGCTAGGGTCGCCTATGTTGTGAGATAGGGCAAACTTCTCTCGCTCGGCGCCGTCTTGGGGTTAAAATTTGCGGGAAATTAACAATGCCACGCCCTTAACACATGAGTGGAGCACAATAAAATCGATGGAGCACCTTGCATTGCGATTAGTGACACACCCTAGTGTTCAAACACCCCCCCCCCACACACACTTGGGCGCGGGTTAATTTGACCTGGTGTCCTGACCTGACATGACCTGGGGTCAAAAATTTCACACCTTGTCCAAAATTGATGTACAAAAAGGTACCCCAAGCGGCGCGGCGCTACGCGCCGCGGTTTTTTATTCGCACGAGAAAAAAAAACGCGACAGGGTGGTAACATATGCCCCCCCCCCACTGGGGTGAAGGTTAAGTGCTCATCCTAAGCGTCTCGTCGCATTCTTTCGTTTGCCTGCCTTGCGCGCTGCGCTGCGCCTTTTGGTTCTCGAATTATCGGCTGGGGGCACTTACCGCCCCCCCCCCCCTCCCAGCAGCTGGTGGGTGGCGGAACACCCCGGCTACTTCCGGGAATAGAGATCACATTGGCAAATGATATGTCCTTCCAAGTTTAGAATAAAGCGACGGCATAAAACGAATAGTTAAGGTGTCCAATTTGCTCTGGTATCCACTAGCTGGGCACTTACGGATCCAACCTGACCTCCGCTCTCTTGCACCTCTGGAGCCATCCAGTCCAGAGTGCCTTTCCAACTTGTCATGGCCTGAGTGCCCGATGTCAGCTCTTTGGATATACCAAAGTCGGTGAGCTTGGCCACGATGCCATCTTTCTCGTCCCGCACCAACAAGATGTTTTCGGGCTTGATATCCCGGTGCACTGGAAAAGAACATGTTTCTGTGTTACATAGGGAAGGGTGGAAGGACATCGCCACGATGTCCTCAGGCTTACGTGCACTGACGACACTTGTGTTTTGTGACTGGCTGAGGGGGATTAGGAGGTCGAAAATTGGGACAGGATCGGTGAGGAAGGCGACAGTCGCTGCCTGATCAAGACTCATCAGTGGCGAGGGCGCCGTGAGCAGACAGATCTACCGATACTTCGACGCCTCGATAGCGAGGTTGGCCGAAGCCGACTGGCCGCACCCCTTGTATGGAAAGAGGCCCCTTTCCCCGGTCTCGATGGCGAAACACAACACGGGAAAAGAGTTAAGCCCTCGGTTTTCGCTGGCGAAACACCGGTGGCCGCCCCCTCACACACCCCAACGAGGTGAGAAAAGCCGAGGTCCCCGGAAGTAGGACGTGTCACAGTCACAAGCGTGTGTGGCCTGCCGTAAGGCATCGCACTTCCGTAACTTCCGTCTCTCACTTTTCTCACAGTCACTGAGTTCAACCACTGGATATTTATTGTCACTTCTCACAATTCACTCCCAGAATCCAGCTTCACTCCGCACCTCCACCAGACAGCGTTACACCCACACACAGACAGACTAAACCCGCCTACGGCTCACCCGCCCGAGATCAGGGCCTCGTTTCATAAAACTCTGCCGTAACTTACACCTTTCCGTAATTCACACCCTTTCAAACTACGGAGCGCAATTGAAGCGGTTTCACAAAGCCACAACTGGAATTGTTTACACCTCCGTAACTAAGCACATTTGCGTAGTTACCGTAATTTATCAAGCGTCCTACAAATTACAATTTCGTGTCAACACTTACTTTTTTACGAGAAATTATAAAACAATTATGTTGAATTTTAATCTTAAAAATTATTTATGAAAAAACAAAATTGATATTGATGACCATCCTTTATTAAATCAAATATATTGAAAATAGCAGAAAGCCAGCTAAGCAGAAGTGCTTTACTACGAAAGTGGCGCGGCGCGGCGAATAAACAAAATTCCGATAGTTGCCACAAAAAGCGACTGGTACAGAAGATTTGCAGTTTCTTTTTCTCATTTTGGCTGTTCTTTCTTCCTCACCGGGCTCAACATTATAAAATGTATTAAAAATTAGCTTCGGATCTTCACATTAATTCAAATTCACGCAACATTTTTGTACGTAGTTTACACCACTGATATCAAGAACTTGATAAAATATTTGGCGTTAATTACGCCGTTTTATGAAACCCGAATGGCATCAATTGGTCCGGATTCGAGCATTTGCCGTAAATGAAGCTCCGTAATTTCGATGGCGTGAATTACTCCGGTCTCCGGCTTTATGAAACCGAATTGGCATCAAATACGCTAAATCTGGCATAATTGACGGAACGCCGTAAGTAATTCCTTTTATGAAACGAGGCCCAGCTCGCTGGTGCCCCGCGGCGCGGGACACCAGCGACCAATCAGCGCGCTCCCCGCGCATGACCTTACCAGGTCAGACACGCCTCGGGCGCCACGTGGCCCTAGCGGCCGGCTCGGCAGCTACACGGGCCGGCCGGCGACTCGGCGGGTACCGCTCAGCAGCGGTCGGTGACAACAGTGGGGTCAATTTGAACATATTTTTACGCCTTCTCCGTCGTACCAAATTACAGCTCAATCCTGGATGAAGGAAAACTGTTTCAGTAGCGCAAATGTCACTTGCTTGCAACATGCAAGCCTCATTTTTGGACGAGCCGAGCATACCTCGAAAATAGCATAGCCTCACTTCTCCACCAAGTCACGGTGTGTTCAAACTGCCCAAACGTAGGGTAATTTGAACATACTGCCTTAACCCGCGCCCCACTGGGGGGCAGGGCTGGTAAAAAGCGCCGATTCGCTGATAATATCGGAGCCAGAACAATAGCTGTACAAGCGACTTAGGGAGCCAGAAATAAGCGTTTCAACGCAAGTATGCATGTGCAGGATAACTGCTAAGTTTTGTTTCATATTTTCATTTTATTTCTACGACAAACCTCAAAATACAAGATGCCTGAGCACAAATATTAAATTAGTAACAACTTTAAATTTCCTAATGAGGTCTTATGCGCAATGTTTGTCTACAAAGTACAAAGCTGGTAGCCTATTCAGAATAGCTGTAAATGCTTACCGCGAACAGCGTCAGCATTCATCACCGAAGAGCCATCAGTCGATTTCCAGCTTTAACACTACGGAGAATAGGGCTCCGTAACTTTTATCAGTTGATGAGGACCTAGTGTTGAGCGAACGGGGAGCCACAGAGCCTTCTACCATTGGCGGTTCACTGTATTACCGACTAGTTTAGAACACAAATAATGATATTCAAGTGGCCTTTTCATTTTTATTAATGTCAATAAGTCTCGTGCAGGGTTGCGGCACGGGCAAACTGTACATTTCATGGTATGTTGGTTGTTTTTCGGTTGGATTTGAAGTTGCTCCTCTTATGTATAGTACATCTCAATCTCATAGCAATATCATAGACCACCTACCTCAATATTTTGAGCTGATCAAGCTGTGGAGCTAGACATAAATATGGCGCTTGTTTTTATTTTGAAGATGCATACGGATACCTAACTCAAGTGGCTAACGATACTCATTTATTTGCCAACCAACCCAGTATGGTTAGCATATTTGTTACTAATTAAATTAAATTTTGAATATCAAGATATGTTCCTCTTCTGCAAGTTTTTCTTTTTGGTAGTCATACTCAAAATATGCCTATATAAGCAATCCTGATTTATATTTCAGGCATTTTGTAACTAAAATTAATATTAGACTTTCACTTATGATGCCTTTGTGTTTCAGTTCTCAGCTTAGGACATCATCAATTCAATTATGTGTATCTCAGATGACGCAGGCAATGACCAGCCTGCGGAAGATCTATGCTAGTGGGCGAGATGATGAAATTTTCTCTGTTGGTGAGTCAGTATTATATTTTTTTGTCAACTACATTCATTGCCTTGCATGCATTAGTGCCTTACATTTCTGTCACCAACCAGCTTAAACTAAAGTAGAAGAAATTATATACCTACATTCTTTTGCTGTGTTTGACAGTTGACACCAGCCGATGTCCCTAAATCAGGATACATCAGCGAGCTATAAGGAAAACTAAAATAGTTACTGATGAATTTTAAGGTGTTCCTGAAAAAGGACGTTGTTCACCGTACTTTCAAGCCTTTTCTGTTACGAGTGTTAGGAGCCACTTTTCATGGCCAAAAATTTGGTCAGAGCCACCAAAACCATTTTTACCAGCCCTGCTGGGGGGCTATTTATAGCCCCCCCCCCATCCCGTTTTTCTGCAATAACTTCCAAACTGCTTGACGTATCGACGCCAACCTTTCAGTACCTTCGGCTGCATCAATTCGACACCTTGTGTCAAAACCTTCTTTGAGCTCAAAACCAATTCGACACCTTGTTTGAGCTTCGTACCACCATAGGCCGGCCGGAAATGACGTCAGAGTGACGTCATGTTCGGCCGATTTCGACGCAAAACATTGAACCACGGCAATCACTCCCAAGAGCTCAGTTTTTAAGCTAGATCCAATTTCTTTGCATGAGAGGACTCAGAATAGATTGCGCTATCAAACTGCTATCTCAAATTTTTTAAATTTTGAAAATTCCGAAAATTTAATATAATAAAATTCAAAATTTATATTTTTACATTTTTTCCAATTTTTTTTTTGTATTTTCGAAAAACCCGGAATATATCTGATAGAACGCATTATTATGACTAACTCTAGCAAGTTTGAGCTAAACATCTTCAAAAATGGCCAAGTTATACGCATTATTGCAAAAAACTCACGATTATTAATTTTTCAAATCAATTTTTCAGCACGTATTTGACATCGTTCGCCAATATAAATAGCACCATCGTGTTGCTGAGCTTAAACTGCATCCAATAGACACCTTTTTTGTTTTAATTTTAACTTCAAAATTTGACCTTTTTTGACCTGAAAGTGACCTGACCTAAGCTAAATTTGACTCAAAATGACCTCGAATGACACAGACGACATCAAATTCGAAATTTTTGGCCTAAATGGACCATAACACATGTGTCACGTGACCGACGCATGATATAATATTTTCGTGACCTGTGATGACCTGACCTTGACCTGAAAATCAAAGTACAAGTTTGGTACCCTCAGGGTATCTAGAGCATCTGTTCACGAGTGTGTGAACCAAAAAAGAGCCTGATTTGACTTGTAAGACGGCGGCCAGAGCCCAAAACGTGAACAAGCCAAAATGCTAATAATTTTTACTTTGACCTGACCTGTGACGTCATCGGTGACCTCGAGGTCAATGAAATTAGGTTTCAGTTGGCAGTTTTTCCGGGGCTATCAGACGCCGTTTGAATTTTGACGATCGGCCCAGTAGTTTCGGAGTTAGGAGGGGGGCTATGAATAGCCCCCCCCCCCCCGTAGGGCGTGTTATACGCAGACCCCAGTGGGGCGCGGGTTAAAATGCCATAAAAACGAAAATCTCGCCAGCACCGATGTTGTTTGATCCATGAACAAATAGGCAGAACAATTTAAAACATACCTTCATTTGTAAAATCAACAAAACAACAAAAATAACAGTTGCAGAGTATCAACATCTGCACGCTGCACACCGGTCAGTTGACAGAAGTCGCCTCTCTTCAATTAACAGAACGTCTATCATTTCATACAATTTCTGAGAAATTCTCTCAGATTTGACCTACCGTCAAACGTCAACGTTCTACCGTCAACGGTTTTGCTGACAGGGGGAAGAAATGCAAAAATAGCCGATTTTTTAAGTTTTTTTTTCTGCAATAACTTTTGGTTCAAGCCTTGCACGAGCTTCATTTTACCGGCATCGTGTTCCTCTCGTCAAGACGCATCGACTAAAGTATAATTTGACCTTGAAAGGTCAACTTGAATGTTTGACCTTAGTTCAAGGTCATATCCTGACCGGAAAGGGTCATGTTGCATATCAGTCGATCTGTATCGTTGAGCTGAACACATCC